AAAGAAAAGAAAAAATGTTACTCTTTGAAAAGATTAGCAGTAGTGGCAAACTCATACCAAGACTCTTTTTCTCAATGAAGAAAAGGAGTATAAGAAGAAGGAGGAGAATAATAATAGGAAAGAAAATAAAAATAGCAACAAAAACAGGAAAGAAACAAAAATGATCAATATCAGAAATGAAGAATGAGCTATAATTACAAACCACACAGACATCAGACTAAGAGTATATTATAAATAATTTATGCAAATAAATTTAGCAACTTAATATACTTGCACAATGGAATACTTCTAAGCAAACTCCTTAACGTCTCACAGTTATTATATTTAGTGAAGGCCAAAAATATAGCACAAAAGAGTACATTCTATGTGATTAGTTGTTCTATAACTGACAAAGCTAATGTGCAGCAATAAAATCAGATCAGTGGTGGCACCTGGGGCAGCAGGTGAGAAGAGTGGAATTAACTGTAAAGGGATACAAAGGACATTCTGGGATGATGAAAATGCTCTATTTCTTGATTGGAGTAGTGGTTACAGGCATATACAAACTATCAAACTCAATACCCTGTATACTTACTACCTGAATTTTACTCAATGCAAATTTAACTCACTGAAGTTGATTTTTTAAAAAATAAACTAATTTAAAAATCACAGACGTAAGAAACAATTTAATTTAGTCAGAAATTTTAAAGTTATTTTTGTTGAGGATTTTGTCACAGTCACACACAAAATTGGAACGAGGATATAAGAATATTTCAAAATTTTTAAAGTTCTTCTAAAATTACTTCAATTCTATTATATACCTTCTCAGCAGAATAGAAAGTATAAACGATGGGCCAAGAAGTGTGCTAGATGCTTGCATGTATTATACTTCACAAAGACTGTGCCTTTATTTCGTGATTACATCTAGCATAGTACCTTGGGAAACAGCTGTGTTACAACTGAAACAGCAATAAAACTGGAGCCAGGACACCTGGGTTCAAATCATGATGTATGTGACCTATTAGGTTTGTGACCTTAAGCAAATCACTTAATCTCTGCTTTCAGTTCCAGAAATGACATGAAGATTAAGGAATAGTATTTAAAAGTATCTGGGTAAGGATTCAACAACACATCTCAAAAATCATCCATTATGACGAAGTAGGCTTCATCCCTGGGACGCAAGGCTGGTTCAACATTCACACGACAATAAATGTCATTAAATACATCAACAGACGTCAGAACAAAAACCACATGAATATATCATTAGATGCAGAAAAAGCTTTTGATAAAATCCAGCACCCCTTCCTGATAAAAACCCTCGAACACCTAGGCATACCTGGAACATACCTCAAAATAGTAAAAGCCATCTACGAGAAACCCACAGCCAGCATACTCCTAAACAGACAAAAATTGGAACCATTTTCCCCTGAAAACTGGAACAAGACAAGGATGCCCACTCTCATCCCTCCTGTTCAATATAATATTGGAAGTCCTGGCTAGAGCAATCAGAGAAGAGGAGGCAATCAGGGGGATCCAAATAGGAAAAGAGGAAGTAAAATTATCTCTCTTTGCAGATGATATGATTGTGTACCTTGAAAACCCAAGAGAATCTGTCAAAAATCTCCTTACACTGATAGAGGCCTTTGGCAAAGTCTCAGGATACAAAATAAATGTACAAAAGACAATCGCATTTCTCTACACCAATAATAAACAAACAGAAACCCAAATAAAAAACACAATCCCATTCACAATAGCCACAAAAAAAATGAAATACCTTGGCATCTTCCTAACCAGAGACGTGAAAGACCTTTACAATGAAAATTACAAAGCACTGCTCAAAGAAATCAAAGATGACACAAACAAGTGGAAAAATATCCCATGTTCATGGATTGGAAGAATCAACATTGTTAAGATGTCTATCTTACCTAAGGCAATCTACAAATTCAATGCAATACCCATCAAATTACCAGCAACATTCTTCTCAGAGCTAGAAAAAACAATACAGGAATTCATATGGAAACACAAACGTCCAAGAATAGCCAGAACAATTCTCAGCAAAAAAAAACAAAGCAGGAGGTATCACATTACCAGACTTCAAACTTTACTATAAAGCTACAATCATCAAAACAGCTTGGTATTGGTACAGGAACAGGCATATAGACCAATGGAATAGAATTGAGACTCCAG